CCTGCGGTTGTCTCCCTTGCTGACCCCTCTGCCGGTCCTGTCGTCGCTCGCAGTTCCACTTCCCTTCCCTGTCCAGCCGTTCCCTCGGGCTCTCTTACAGGCTTCCACGTTCCCTTGTTCTCCAGGAACCTGGTTGGTGTCGGCCGTCTTCAGGACCTCGGCGTCACCACCACGTTCCCTGGGCACGAGCGGTTCGCTGTCTGTACCGAGGCAGTCTCAGGTTCCCCTCTTGCGACGTTCCCCCGGGACCCGGTGTCTGGTCTGTTTACCCTCGACACCGGTTCCCCCCCGGTTGGTGCGTCCTCCCAGGTCGCTGCAGCTTGCTCGTGTCGGTCCCTCACTCACCCGTCCCTTCTCTGGCACCACCGCTTAGGTCACCCTGCTCTCCCACGTCTGCGTCACATGTCTCAGCACGGTCTTGTCTTAGGCCTCCCCGCGTCGCTCCCTGCCCTCCCACCCTCGACTGCGCCACCGTACACGCCTTGCGTCGAGGGCCGGCTCCGCCGTGCTCCTCACTCCTCCTCGCTGCGTCCTGCTACTGCCCCCCTTCAGACCCTGCACCTGGACGTTTGGGGCCCGGCCCCCGTCCCCGGACCGCGCGGTGAGCGCTACTTTCTTGTGCTCGTCGACGACTACACGCGCTACACCACGGTGTTTCCCCTGGAGCGGAAGGCCGACGTGCCCGATGTTCTTCTCCCGTGGGTTGTGGCTGCACGTCTTCACCGCGGTCTCCCTGTGTTGTGTCTCCACTCTGACCGTGGCGGTGAGTTCGCCTCTGGTCGGCTTGGACAGTTCTGTCGTGCGGAGGGCATCACCCAGTCGTACACCTTGCCGGACTCGCCACAGCAGAATGGGGTTGCTGAGCGCCGCATCGGTTTGGTCATGGAGGTGGCTCGTACCTCCATGATCCATGCCGATGCCCCCCATTTTCTGTGGCCGTTCGCTGTCCGCTACGCTGCTCACCAGCTTAACCTGTGGCCCCGCTCCCAGCGGCCGCAGGTTTCGCCGACCCTCCTTTGGACCGGGTCCCCCGGTGACGCGTCTGCGTTCCACGTCTGGGGTTGCCTTGCTCACGTTCGTGCCTCTGGCACGGACAAGCTCACGGCCCGCACTGTCCCCTGTGTCTTCCTCGGTTTCCCCCTAGACTCGTCTGACAGGCTCTTCTACCACCCGCCGTCTCACCGCTTCCTCCACTCCCGTGACGTCACCTTTGACGAGTCTGTCTCCTTCTACCGCTGCTTCCCTCACCGAGGTCTCCCGGTTGCCCCGCCCCTCTTCCTTTCTCCCTCTCCCCCGGTAGCCCCTGCTCCTCTCCCGCCTCGTCCTGCCCCGTCTGGTGTCTCTCACGTCACTCCCCTCCCGTCGGTTGTCCCAGTTGAGGAGTCAGCTGACTCTGGTGGTCCCCCCGGCCCGTCCCTGCCGCGTCCCCCTTCCCCGGTGTCTCCGCCTTCCCTGCCGCCGCCACCGCCGCCACCTCCGCCGCCGCCGCCACCGCCGCCGCCGCAGCCGCTGCAGCCGCCGTCGCCGCCCTTGGCCCCTGGGGGTACTGGCGTCGAGGAGGGTGTTCGTCCTGCCCCGCCTGGAGTGGTCTGTCCCGGCGGGCCTGGGGGTGCCGCTGGTGCTGGAGGGTGTTCTCGCTCTGGGGGTGTTGGTTCTGGGGGTGCTGCCGTTGAGAGTTCTGCCGGTCCGAGGGTCGAGGCCCAGCCGCCGCAGCAGCCCTAGCAGCCGTCGCCGCCGGTCTCCGCTCTCCGTCTGCTCGGCCTTCCCTCCCCTGACCGCTCGCCGGTGTCTCCTCCACCGCCTGCTGACCTTCCTGTCTACGGTCCTGTGTTCCCGCCGCCGGACTCGTCTCCGGCCCGTCTTCCTCCTCGTTTCCCTCCTGTGTCCCCTCCGCTGTCTCCTGACCCTACACCTCCGTCCCACGTTTGGTCTCGTCGTCCCTCACGTGCCCGTCCCGTCTCTCCTATCCTGCCCTCCCACCCTATGTTGCTCCGTTCCCACTCGTCTCGTCCTCCCCTCCTCCTGTCACCTCCTCCCTCGTCGCTTGCTGTTGCACCTCCTCCGTTCTCTGACTACCTCCGTGCCGCTCGTCCCCTTGTCCCTCGGGTTCTTGCCTCTCTTGTTACCGACCCTTCTGTTCCGGTCTCGCGCCTTGACGCGCTTGTCGCTGCTGTCGCTGACTTCGCCTCTACCCGCCGCCTTGACTACGCTACCGCTCTGGTCTCTGACCCTGCCCGTCCTCCGTCCGTCGGGGGTGCTCCTGCCCTTGGCAGTGACGTCCTAGAGGACAGGCAGTACGAGCTTGCTTTCCTTTCCGAGGCTGCTCCCCATCTCTGCTCCATGCTGTTAGTCCCTGAGGGTGACCCAGACGCCTTCGACATCCCAACCCCTCGCACTTACGCTGAGGCCACCTCGGGACCTTGGGCCTCTCAGTGGATAGCTGCCATGGAGCAGGAGATGGCATCTTGGAGGTCCACCGGCACTTACGTCGACGCAGTTCCCCCGCCTGGGGTGAACGTAGTCGATGGTCGGTGGCTCTTCAAGGTGAAGCGCCCCCCTGGAGAGCCGCCTGTCTTCAAGGCGCGCTACGTGGCCAGAGGCTTCAGTCAGCGTGAGGGGGTTGACTTCTTTCAGACCTTCGCCCCGACCCCGAAGATGACCACTCTTCGGGCGCTGCTACACGTAGCAGCACAGCGCGACTACGAGCTTCACTCCCTCGACTTCTCTACTGCCTTTCTTCAGGGCAGCCTACACGAGCAGGTCTACCTGCGCCGACCACAGGGCTTCACTGGTACCTTCCCTCCTGGGACCCAGTGGCTTCTCAGGCGCCCGGTCTACGGCCTGCGTCAGGCTCCTCGCGAGTGGCACGACACGCTGCGGGCCACGTTAGCAGACCTGCAGTTCTTTCCATCCTCTGCTCACCCGTCGCTGTTTGTGCGTTCCGGCCAGACTCCGTTCTACATCCTTGTCTACGTAGACGACCTGGTCTTTGCTACTGCTGACAGGGACGCACTGGCCTCTGTGAAGGCCGAGCTGCTGAAGAGACACACCTGCACTGACCTTGGAGAGCTGCGTCGCTATCTTGGCCTGCAGATCTCTAGGGACAGAGCAGCACGCACCATCACTCTGACACAGTCACACCTGGTGCGTCAGGTCCTTCAGAGGTTCGGTCTTCAGTTCTCCTCCGCACAGCCCACACCTCTTCCAGTAGACCATGGGCTCTCCGCTCCTGTTCCTGAGGAGCCAGTAGAGCCCAGTGGCCCCTACGCAGAGCTGGTGGGTTGCCTCATGTACCTGATGACTTGCACTCGCCCAGATCTTGCATACCCTCTCAGCATCCTGGCTCGCTTTGTGGCCACTGGCAGACACCGACCTCAGCACTGGTCGGCCGCTAAGAGGGTTTTGCGATATCTAGCAAGTACATCGGGCATGGGGTTAGTGCTAGGAGGACGCAGGCCAGTGGTCCTCACTGGGCACACAGACGCTTCTTGGGCAGACGACTCTGAGACTCTTAGGTCGTCTCAGGGCTACTGTTTCAGCCTTGGTTCGGGTGCTATCTCTTGGAGATCCACTCGCTCGTCGTCTGTGGCTCAGTCGAGCTGTGAGGCTGAGATCTACGCTGGTGCCATGGCGGCACAGGAGCTCCGCTGGCTGACCTTCTTGCTCACTGACTTAGGTGAGCGGCCTAGTTCTGCCCCGGTCCTGTACGCTGACAACAGGGCCATGATTCTCCTGTGTCAGGAGCCTCGACTTGAGGGCAGGGCGAAGCATATCCAGCTGCGGTACTTCCTCCTGCGCGAGCTACAGCAGCGTCGCCAGGCCCGCGTCGTTCACTTGGCCTCCGGTGCCAACACAGCTGATATCTTTACTAAGGCGCTTGCGCCTAGAGATCATCAGCGGCACTGTGTACAGCTTGGTCTTGTTCCTGTAGCTTCTCACTTGTTAGGACCCTGATTGTGTACTCTCTACTATATATATACCTGTCTGACTGGCCTTGTGGCCTTACCTCCAGTGGCTGGACTAGTAGTGCCGCCCTGGTTGGTTTTAGTCTTGTTTGTACTCTTGCTGACTGGTCTCCAGACCCCTGTCTCAGTGGTTGGACTAGTAGTGCCACCCTGGGCTGTGTGCTTCTTGCTTAGCTCCACCCCTTGTCTAGCCTAGGGGGTGTGTCAACTTATACATATTATCTATGTAGAAGTTATAGGCTGGACTAGGTGTGTGCTTCTAGTGAGTACAACCAACTGGTATTTGTTCTATGTTTCACTTCCTAGTAATTCATTCGTTTCTACGTTAACAATACCTACTGTACCACCAGTGTTTTGTGGTAGACCTACTTTAAAACCACAGGCTAGAATAGCACACCTGAGGAGCTCTTGAAAATATGTTTTGTTTATGGGCAGATCTTTTGGTACGTTTCCTATCACGAAATCGTATGGGGAGGCGAAATTGTATGTAATGCGAAGTAGCATTGTTATGTTATTGGTGCGCGACTTTGATTTGGCATCAGATGTTCGCCTCATCAAGTTGCGACTGACCGTTCACAGAGCTCAGTTTTTTCAAGAGCTCCATGGGTGTGCAATAGGTTTTGAACCCAAGGTTTACCTGGGTCGCATTGCGCGGAACCCATGTGGCTGTTCGGCACACAAGTTGCACAGTTTACCTTCACCTTAGTCGCGAGTCGCGGTCAGGGGGCTTCGTAATGTGAGCCTGAACACGTGCACCGAATACTCCCGAGGTACAATAGGTTTTTTTGTTTCACCAAGTTGGCGAAAAGTCATTTGAATCGCGAGCGCGTTTCCCGCCTCGTCGCACACGCGTCAAATCGGCGCCACTGCGTTTCTATCATTTTTCAGCTGCCCAAAAACGCACCCCTCAAAATCGTACTGGGAATGGAACCCGCTATTTTCAGAACTATTTTCAAGAACGGCGCTCTTGAAGCCCCCCACCATGCTATTTTAGCCTGTGGTTTTAAGCCGCAGGAAGATTAGATGGAGTGAGTTCCACCAAGGTCTTTATTATTGACACAGGATTTTACCAAGCATCAGCCGACACTAGTACAGAGGCAGTAAGGATCAGAATACAGCCCAGAGAGACAGACACAGGGAGAGCAGCTGACATATAGAACAGACACCAGGCCTGCACAGCACCCGCCAGCATCAGTACACAGCACAGGCCTGGGGGAAGGAAGAGACTACCGCACCATGGAACTAGTGCACCAGTAGACTAGTGCGGCCACTGAGAGAGGGGTGGTCGGAGGCAAGCACAAGATTGCCAGCCGGCAGGAATGGTGGAGTTGGTGGTGGTGTGGAGTGGTGAGACGTGTGAAAAGTGTGCAGTGGTGTGAAGTGGTGTGAGGTGGTGTGAAGTGACAGCGTGGTCAGCCTAATCCGTGGTTAGCATACAACAGCAGCACGGGGAGGCGAGGTCCCCTGCACGAAGCCAGGGGGACCAGCGCTTGTAGGTGCAGCAGGTAAGGTAGTTGCGGTATGAATAGGTATGGTGCCGATGGGAAAGGGTCTTCAACAAGGATGCCAGGTGTATCGATGCTCCTCTCCTCTCCCCTCCCCTCCCCTCCCCTCCTCCTCATTGCGTCATCCCAGTGGGAACCACCTTGTGCCCAGCAGCATTGAACCTTGCAAACGCCACCGACCGGGAAGCAGCTGGCCTCTTGAGTTCCGCGAGCAGGAAGGTGACCTTGGGCATGTCGGGGCGGTCCTTGCGCAGGGGGGCCACGCAGGCCGCAGCGATACGCGCGAGGGAGAGGAGGGAGTCGCGGGGGTAGTCGGCCGGGAGGCGCGGGTCTACGAGCTCGTCTAGCTTGCCCTCGTGGATCAGCGGCAGGGCCTGGGGGGAGGGGGAGGGGGAGGAGGACGAGGGGGGAGAGAGGAGTAGTGGTGAGAAAACTAGCGGTACTGTGGCAAGTGTAGTGAGGGGACGGACGAGAGAAGGGGCAATGAATGAGAAACTAAGGACCAAGAGGGAGGAGGGGGGTGAAGGTGCTATGAGAGGGAACACGGAAGGGGGAAAGTGGAGAACGGGGGGAGGGGGGATGGGGCCAAGGGGTGCAGTGCAGTGGGTTGGGTCGGGTGGGGTGGGGTGGGGTGGGGTTGGGCGGAGTGGGGGCAAAGGGAGCAGAGGAGAGAAGAGAAGTCAGGAGCACTCACCCACTGAGGCAAGGTCATAGGGGGAGCAGGGCAGGGGGGCTCCGGGGCAGCGCCAGGCGAGCTCGGAGTAGCGGGAGTGGGCGGCGAGGGTGGCAGGCGCGAGGGGTTCTGAACAATGGGCGGCTGGCCGGTAAGCATTTCCAGCATGACCACGCCAAAGCTGTAAACGTCGCACTTAGTGGTGACTTTAAACGTCTGGAAGTACTCGGGGTCGAGGTAGCCCTTCTTGCGCGCCATGCGCAGTCGCATGGCCTCCCCGGGGAGATGCTTCAGGAGTCCGAGCCCGCCCACCTTCACCTGAGGGGGGGGGAGGAAAGGGGGGGTGAGGGGAGGGGAGGGAAGAGGGGGGAACCAGGGATGTGAGTAGAGAGGAAGTGGAAGAGAGAGACGAGAGGAACGGAGGAGGGAGGGGGGCGGATTGATGTCAAGACTAGACGGGGGTTCGGGGGGAGGGGAGGGAGGGGAGGGAGGGGAGGGGTACGACGGACGGATGGAAAGATGTATGGATGGGGGTAAACGATTGGGCAGGCGGATGGTTGACGGACGGCTGACGGACGGCTGACGGACGGCTGACGGACCTTGAAGTTCTGGTCGAGCAGGATGGTGTCCGACTTAACGTCCCGGTGGATGATGGTGGGTTTGGTGAACGAGTGCAAGTATCGCAGAGCCTCCGCCACACCCAGCGCAATGTCCAGCCGCTGCTCGAACGCCAGGGGGGGACGCGCGTCGCCTGGAGGGGGGGGGGGAGGGAGGAGGGGGGGGGGAGGGGGGAGAAAGGGGGAGGGAGGGGGGGAGAAGACGGGGAAAGGGGAAGGCGGGGGTGGGGGGAGGGGAGGGAGGGAGGAAGAGGAAGGGAGGGAGGAGGAGAGTTTAGCGGAAAGAGCTGGGGAGAAGGGGTAGGGTGAGGAGTAACAGAGCGCGCGCGAGAAGGGAGCATAAGAAGTGCGTGACGGAGGGGGGTTGTGCAGACGCGAGGGCGCACGGGGGGGGGTGGGGTGGGGAGGGGGGAGGGAGTCGCGGGGATGAGAGCGTGCGCGTGAAGGGTATCAGTGGAGAGATTAGCATGTGGGGCGGGTTTACCTGGGGGAGGGCGCAGCCAAGTGGAGAGTGGGCCGTTTGGGAGGAATTCGAAGACGAGGATTTGCTCGTTGTTCTCGTCGCACGAGGCGAGGAGCGTCACGATGTTCTCGTGATTCACTTGCGATAGGAAGTCAACCTGTAACGGGGATGGGAGAAAAGTCACGGAAATGGGGAAGAAAATCGGCCATGGGCAGCAGAAGGTCAATACTCAACGAACAGGAGAAAAAATATGAGTGAATCGAAACGGACTGTAACGAAAAAACAGTGGATCTGCGAGGTAGTTGCGCACCTCGTTCCGGAACAGGTGCGAGCCTTCGAGAGACACCCGCTTTGCGCGCTTCACAGCCCACGCCTCGCCGTTGGGCCCTTCGCCACGGTACACCGTGCTGTAACCAACGTCGCCAACCGCGCTCTCTTCGCTAAAGCCGTTCGTCGCCACTTGGAGGTCGTTGAGGGGCAGCGACGGCACGGCGACGTCTTCGGTCGAGCTCATGTTGTATTTTTGCGAGCCCAGCCGAATCACCGCCGAGCCCTTGGGGGTGTCGACGCCCTTCACCCACATGCCCGCCTTCCCGGACTTCCCTCCTGCGACATAATGCGAAACGGCGAAATGAGAAAACGGTAACATGTGCAAGTGACGGTGGGCGGAGAGGGGGACCTTCGAACGGCTCGGATCTCAAAACAAGAAACGTGGGTCACGGATTAACCAAACAGACAAGCGTTAAACTCGCGATAACACGCGACAACAAGCGACAACCAGCGACAACCAGCGACAACAAGCGTCAACGCAATGGCACGCGTGTGGGCCCTGGGCGATGGGCCTACCTTTGCCCGACGGCTTCCATAGGAAGATGGCGACGAGAACGACGAGAGTGAGGAGCAGCAGTACCCCGCCTATCACCGCGACGATGAGCTCGTCCTCTGGAGAGGAGACGGAAAGACGGTGGGGAGAAGAGGGGCCGGGAAAACGGTGAGCCAAGAGCTGGGAAGAAAGGGTAGGAGAAGCGGTACGCGAAGAACGGGAAGAAACGTAGAAGAAACAGTAGGGGCGGGACGGGAGGAGAGAGGGAGGGACAGAGCGAGAGAAGAAAGTCGACAGGCTCGGCAACGGATGTAGTGAGAGGAAAGGAAGCGGGAGAAGGTCTCGGAAGGGAGAACGTTACTAGAGTAGGGAGATATACTTACTCTCTGCACCGCCCTCGCCAAGCTCTCTTCTTGACGGACTTCCTGCGGAGCATCGGCAGGAAAAAAAGGGGAGGGAAATGAGACGGAGAACAAGGACACACCAGTACTCAGAGTGTGGCTTCCCGATTTTCGAAACGCCGCGGACTACGTCGTCGAACATATGTTGCGTCATGCAGGCTCACCGGAGCCAGAGCGTAGACATAAGATGTATGCGGGATAGTAAAGCTTAGAATCCGGGAAGGCGATTTCCGACTTGAAAGTGGAGGAGCAGAAGCGACAGCAGGCGAAGCGAAAGCAGGCGAAGCGAAAGCAGGCGAAGCGAGAGTCTTCGTGGTTCAGATATCGGTTAAGCGCACATGTCGCCGGTGCAGGCATCCTAGCGTAAAGAATCCAGTTAGGAGAGAAGATGGGTGAGAATAGGGAGGATGCGCGCACCAGCTAGGCTCAGCGGCAGTAGCGAAAGCAGCAGCGGCGCCGCGGCAGCTGAAACCTGCAGCTGAAGCAGCTGCGAACCCATCTGCCACCTGTGCTCCCGTGTATGCCCTACGGATAGGCCATTCCCCATTATTCACTGCTTTTCCCAGGCGCCAGCGGGCTCGCACGGTCCACGCTCCCCCACACTAAACAGAGATTTTCGCCCTCGTCGTGTTTCTATCTCGGATGAAATCGACGGTCTTTCGATTCGTTACGAGTCGAGCTGTTTCGTCTAGCACCCGTCAGATGTCCATTGCCTGTTTCTCGATTGCCTTGGCTTCCCCCTCGTGAAACCTAGGAAGTGAATTCCTCAGCGAAAACGGCTGAAGGTAAGGTATGTGGTTGCTTGCAAGTGATAGCAGGGGTGGTCAATCAGGCAAGAAGAAAGGTGAGCTTGGCTGGGAGACAACAGAGCACAAGGGCAAGCGAGGAGTCGGTCGGACGAGGGTGTCAGGGGGAACAGATGTCGGGCCGCCACCAGGTGGAGGGGGCAGCAGCAGGAGCAAGGCAAGTCGTGAACCACGGTGAGATGCGGTGAAGTGCGTTTCTTTATGGTAAGCAGTCTTGCTTGGTTACAGTCTGCTGTTGTGTCCCCCGATGAAGAACAGAACCAGCAGATGTGATGCGGTGCGGTGGGTTCGACATGCGAAGCGGTGAGCAAACAGAAGCGCACGGGAAAGGGTCCAACACGGGTGGCCGCCCTCAGGCCCTACTGGCTTGGCGACCTAAAAAACATTTGGCAGGGGCCCAGGTTGGGGACTTGCGTCTCGGTTGCTTGTCTGGCCAGGGGACGAGAATGAGTACGGGCAAGCGAGAAACAAATATATTGGAGAGTTTTGTGCCATCTGGACCGTCCGATCTGACAGATTTGCATCTGTGCGTTCGCTCGAGGTGCCTTCGTAAAGTTTCTTTTCGGGAGTTGTAACCTGCGACTTATGTCTCGATTATCAGCTTGGTACAGCTCGTATCTCAGCGCGATAGACGGAGATGTACGCGATTCGAGCACGAAGAAATGGAAGGTGTCGCAGGCTTCAGGGTGCCTGTCAGGGTTCACCTGGAAGCCTGTCGCATACTATTCCGAGCAGGCGTTTCACCTGACACCAATCACAGTAGCTGCTTGGAACATAGAGGCACCTGGACTGTTCCATAATCTACCTGAAAGTCGGTTTGCCCGAAACTAGTTACCATCAATCTGCTCGTCGCAACTTCACCTGTCGTGAGTGCCTGTTATGAATGGGACTGCCGAGTAGCGCGGAGGGCAATGGCGAAACTGTGAACGAGTGAATGACAATAAAATGAAAGAACACACAATATATAGAAAGCCTAGGGTGATCCTAGACGTAGGATCGGAAGGTTCGGGAAAGGTATCGAAGGGCCTCGATGTGTCGTAACGAGGTCCGGAAAGGCCCAGGAGGCTCGAACTGAAACGTCTGGAACCCTATCGCTGGTTCGAGACTGTTCGAGTCGTACGCTCTGTAGCAAGCCTCAGTAAGGAATTACTCACTACTTACAGTGCCCCCTTCAGTAACCATCAGAACAGTCATTGGCATCAAAATTGGTATGATGTGATAGACATGAGTGCGTATGAAACAAATAACGAGATGGTTGCCTGGAAAAACGAAGAGGCAAATCATGGCTTATAAAATCAGGGAGAACAAACTTTTAATCATGCAAGGTCGTTGAAAGGTGTGGAGGCTGCGGAAAATTGAAAGGTGTAACCAATATCGTTTACTAAAAGCTGGACACCATTTAAACTTCCCCACACAATTCGAAAGCATTGACGTGTCGATACATGGCGGGACATGCCTACCGAAGTTGGGACAACTCAGATCAATTGGCCACAAGCGACTTTAGCGAACAACACCCACAATATTCGACGACATCTATTACCTACAATAAATAATAAACATGACAGTCTTGTCTGGTCAATTTTTATTAGGGTTGGAGGAATTTAGGTTAGCTTGCGAGTGATGCTATTCTTCTCCATCCCTTCACAGGCGACTCTTGGACTCCGACTGACTATTGGATTGCTCGTCAATGGTCTAAAGTCTGTTTATGTAAGGAAAATTCCATTCCTTAGCGCGCCACACCGCTAACGCGTACACCAACCCCACACGGCACCGACATCCGCCCTAGCTTCGGTCCGAACACGGCACTGAACCATTTCCTTGTCACTCCGAAGCGCTCCGCGTCCTCGGATGCCTTCTTCGAACATGTTCGATCACACGACTAGGATTGCTATGGTGTTCCTATATCATGCTTTGTCATTCTATTATACCACTTTCTGTTATTATGAAATCTTGACATTCGATTTCGCACTACTCTAGTTAAACACTCATAACATCTGGTATTCAGAGCTACTTTCCTGACCTAACTGCTTCCGTAGGCGGGGGGGAGGGGGGTGATTCGCCCACTAAGTTGCAAAGCGGTCGGCCGCGAATCAGACGAATTAATTCGCCCGACTACGATAGCGTTTGCGCTCTCCCCGGGCAATCGCGGATATTTCCCTGCCCACCTGGCGTAGTATTTGCCACGTGAACCAGGCACAGTTTGACGAGTTGTTGGCAAAATTCGTTGCCACGGATGATCACCTGACAGATGTGCTAGACGACAAGGAAAAGCTTTGCGTCGAAGTTGTCAGAAACCCAGTCACTAACCACTGGGTTAAAAGGGCTTGTTGAATAGCGGGTAAATGCACCCATAGCCCCCCAGGCTCTGCACCTGTGGCCCTTCCCCGAGGATCTCAAGGGCAACCCCAGCGGGTCACTCAACACCCCCCCCCGCTGGGATAGGTGGAAGACACGAGCGCCTCTGCAGCGCTAGCACTGGGAGTTGAACCCAAGACCTTTGGCTCTGATACCATGTCAGAAACCCAGTCACTAACCACTGGGTTAAAAGGGCTTGTTGAATAGCGGGTAAGTGAGCCCATAGCCCCCCAGGCTCTGCACCTGTGGCCCTTCCCCGAGGATCTCAAGGGCAACCCCAGGGGGTCACTCAACAGAAGTTACCGAAACTTGTCAGGCGCAAGAGATTACACGCCAGAGATCGCCCGCCCCCAAGGACGCCGCCAGCACTGGATGTATCGAAACAGTCTTGGACGAAATCGCATGCGAAGTGTCGCAGCAGCGCCGTGATGATGAAGTAGCAGCAGCAACGAATTCCGCCGCACGTGCCACGGCAGCTGCAGCAGCTGCGACAATGGCCGCCGCCCGCTCCGAAGCAGCAGCAACAATTTCTGCAGCAGCCGCACCAACTTTACCAGTGGCCAAGATACAGCTGCCGATGCCGCCCCCTTTTAACCCCATGGACAAAAACACCACCATAACGGGCTGGTTTTTTTCGATGGAGCTTTATTTTGCTGTCGTCAGAATAACCGTTGATGGTTTAAAAATCAAACTGAATGTTTTACTTCTCAGGGGACCTGCACTGGATTGGTGGCGATCGACGCTAAGTGAGACGGGGACTTTGGCAGAGAACACTCAATTTTTTTGTTGGGAATTTGGAATCTGCTGCCGGGGACACAACGTCTATTTTTGGATCAACCGAGATTCATACGTGGAAAGCGTGGGGTATAGCTCTCCATGAACTTTTCGAGCCCATATCCGCCTCGGACAATGCACGCACGAAGCTGGACACTTGGCGCCAGTTGACCTCTGTCTAGGATTACACGTCATCATTTCAGTCACTGTATGACCAAATCACCGACCTATCAGAAGCTGAAAAAAAAAAGAATCGGTTCATCACTAAGCTCAAATTCAACATTCGTCATAAAGTGAAGATGCGACGCCCAGCGACGTTCCGTGAAGCAGTGGTGATCGCCGATCTGTTCGGCGCCAATGAAAAATATGTGAGATCGGGTTGCCGGGAGGGGAATCGTTTTCATGGCCACAATCAACGGCCCTCGATCAATGGCTTTGTGGCGAACGACGAAGATCGCAGGAAGCGACAGTGTTTTCATTGCCACCAGTCGGGTCACTGATATGCTGACAGCCCTGACCGGAAGCAGGAGAAAAACAACGATGGGGATAAGCTCTGCCCGTCAGTAGCAAACAAGCCCCCTAATGACACGGCTGCATTGCCCGAGAAACAACATCTCCACTAGGTAGTGGTACCGATACATGCTATCGATTGCTCTCGGACGATAAACGGGGATGAATCTGTGGATCACCCTGTGCTGGTAGAAGGAAGGGTTAACGGCAAAAAAATCAAAAACTTCATCGACGGTGGCGCAAGCCACAGCCTGATTCACCAACCAATGGCTAACATTTTATACATACCCCTGGAGCAGTGTCTTCCCGAGATCGATGCCCGATTGGTCGACGGCACCCCGCTGGCGATACGCGATCGCATGTGAACTGTTCGTATGAAGTGTGGTGACAATTTCGGTTTCTGTGCGCCAATGCTGGCGACGACATTCGACGGCTACAATGTGCTGATGGGACGAGATTGACTTCGGCGACACAACCTGCAGATCGATTGGACAACAGACGAGTGCACCGTAAATTGTGCGAATCGTCGGAAGACACTACCATGCTGGCGAGCAGCAGAGCTGATAACGACACGCGTTAATGCCATCACGCTGACACGCGCGGTCAAGAAAGGTGCGGACCTGTACGCTGTCCATCTGAAGGAATCAACGGATGATGATCAACCGGCCGACATCGATAAGCGTTGCGCAACGGACCCCGAAGATCGGGCAAAAATGATCCGTCAGTTCCCATATATTTTTTCGGACGACTTGCCACCTGGCCTGCCACGAGAACGCTCGCAGGACCATCGGATTGAACTCGAACCTCGCGCGCAGCAAACAGTCCGGACATAGTGGCGGCTGACGCAGCCCGAGTTCCAGGAATTACGGGACCAGTTGGACTATCTGCTGGCCAAGGGATTCGTTCGACTGAGTACGTCCCCATTCGCCGTCCCGATCCTGTTCACACCCACGAAAGATGGGGGCCTCCGAATATGCATTGATTATCGCGCCCTTCATCGGGTTACGATAAAGTCTCGCTACCCAATCCCGCGTGTGGACGAACTTATTGACCAGTTGCGAGGCGCTCGCAATTTCTCGAAGATCGACCTACACGGCGGTTACCACCAGATTCGAGTCTTCGCCGACGATTGCCACAAGACCGCGTTTTGTACTCGCTACGGGAGTTACGAATACACTGTCATGTCGTTCGGGTTAACGAATGCCCCCTCGACATTCCTGCGGACGATGAACGGGGTATTCCGGGATCTAATCGATAAATGCGTGATAATTTATCTGGACGATATCCTGATTTACAACACTACATGGAAGCAGCACTTAAAGGACCTGGAAGCGATTTTTCAGCGCCTGTAGCAAATCGTCTCATCACT